GAATTATCCCTCAGGACTGGAAAGAATTGGTTACAGCAGTCTTAGAGGCTAGGCCACAGTTACAGTGAAGAACCTGATGGAAAGAGGAGGCTAAAACTATGGAACAAAGATGTAAGGCTCGAGGTGTGGACATTTCCCAAGATCAATTTCTTGGAGAAAGCGATTACGCTAATATACAAAGACAACGTTTATATGATAACCAAACCCTAATTCTATGCTGCATGGCAGCCATGAATGTGTGGGACAGAATTGAAGAAGCAGGGAAGAAAACTGAGTCATTTACAAAACTTATACAAGGCCCCAAAGAATCCTTCATGGATTTCTTACAAAGGCTGTCTTCAGCAGTAAACAGAATGATAACAAATTCAGAAGCTAGACAGATAATAATTGAATCTTTGGCCTTTGAGAAAACAAATGCAGCATGCAAAAGGGTAATTAGGCTGTTAAAGGCAAGATCAGCACCCTTGGAGGACTGGATCAGGGATACAATCAATATTGAATCTCACGACCATGATGATATGAGGATAGGAGAGGTGATTTCAAGAGCTTTGAAGAAAAGTAATGTCAGATGCTTTAATTAAGGTAAACAAGGCCACCTAAAAATGGACTGTAAACCGGGCATTCCTAGAAACAATGTTTCTTCAAGTAACAATGGCAACAGAATGCCCCTCCCTTCAAGATTATGCAGAAGGTGTGATACAGGTAAACATTAGACCAACAAATGTAGATCAACAAGGGACAGACAAGGTAACCCTTTGCCTTTACCATTGGGAAACTCCCTGAGGGGCTTCTTTCAGGCCCCCATGGCAAATTCAGTTCAGTCCTTTCCTGACATTGTAGAAGAAACCCCTTCTCAGAGTAATTAAATAACCAAAAGCCTATTGGAATAAACTAGGCTGCTCAGGATGATAGAACACCTATAGCAGAAAGAACAGAATATTCAGGAGAAACCATAAAGCTAATTTTTTGGCAAACTTCTATAAATGAACAAAGACCAAAATTAAAACTATGAATAAATGACATTCTCTTGGAGGGTCTTGTAGACACAGGTGCGAATGTCACAATAATTGCACCAAAATCTTGGCATCCAAATTGGCCTCTTCAGGGTGTATATGTTCAGCTGTTAGGGATTGGAACATTATCTCAAATGAAACAGAGTGAAAGATGGCTTTAATGTATAGGGCTAGAAGGACAGAGAGGAAAATTAAAGCCATATGTGACTAATAGAGCTATGAATTTATGAGGCCATGATTTATTACAACAGTGGAATACCCAGATTAACATTCCTCCAACCTCAGAAACAAACCATAAACTAACACGTTTCTGGGAGAAATATTAAGAGGTATTATATGCCGGGCGGTGGTGGCGCACGCCTTTAATCCCAGCACTCGGGAGGCAGAGGCAGGCGG